CTCCAACAATAGATTTCAGGAAAAACTTTCAGCTAAAATTTTCTTTTAGGAGGGATTCAGGTAGGGGCTGGATAGTCGAGGAGAATTCCACTGAAATCTATACTGATGGGTCCAAAATTGACTGCGGTCATCTCTTGATGAATCCGCAGCAAAGACAATGAACTGTCTCGGACTCACCAGAAGGGAACTGCATTTACAAGTTGCATGTATGACTGAGACACATCGGAATAACCTTCACTAGTTCAGAACTGCGAGGAATATATGGACGTATTATGACAAACGAGAAAAGAGTAACTTTTAAAGAGTTCAAGGAAATATATAGTCACGTTAACTGGCACGATAACGGGACACTGCGCCATTGGGGAATCTGCTGCCCAGATGGGCCTTCCGTATTACCCACTCTACTATAGCTGCAATCTGGAGGAAAGTAAGGAAGCGGACTTACTTTATATCGGCGAGTGCCCAGAATTCGCATGAATAAGGGATACTACTCAAGGGAGATTTTCCTTCCAAAATCGTATGGGATTCAAATGCTCCATTACTAGCATAAATAGATTCATCGACAAAACCATCCAGATACTTTGTTAAACCGACGACTCATGAAAGCTGGTTGTACAAGGAATCCCAGAGAAAGCGTAGCAAAATGTTGATCTCAGCGCTAATTGGATCCTGGGAAAGTGGCCAGGCAACGGATCTATCAACCAAACAACCAAGCGGCAGTCGGGCCGCATGACGGCTCTTCTATGTCATAAAATTTAGTTTTCATAGGTTCTCGAGTGCGCTGAGAGGGTAAAGGTCTTAGCGCCAAACAACAGAGTTTTCCTTCACTGAATTTCAGGCTCTAAAACCAAAGAAGGAGACAAAGATACAAATATGCTTGCCAGGAAGGCTGCAGAAAAAAAACTTACAGGTACCAAGCCTTTCTTTCCAATAGGACCACTATAAGAGAAGAGCTCAGACTAAGAAGCTATGGGTTTTCCTTCTACATATTCTTGGAAGAAACGAATCCGTATATTCCGCGGCTGGTTCCGAAGGGATATTTTTCTTCTCAGATCCCTAAAAGGGGTTGATGGGAGCGTGACGGCGTCTGGAATTGAAGTCCAATCAATATCTTCATGGAAAAATCGCAGAAGGACCGCAGTTGTTGTATTATGTTAGGAACTGATAAGTTGGTTAGGCAGGGTATTCTTGAGATCATCAACGCTGGAAACTTGTAGACCACTACTGGTCAGATGAGCTCACAGTCGGTTCAGCGAGCGGGGAACGAAAACCTCACTAAGCAACCGGGCACCGTTCTTTGGAAACCAATGTTTTGCGACTTAATATCTTCACGGATCCTTATTCTGCCTAGAGTTTGCCAGATTAGGGCATGATTTGAAGAACTAACTGAAACGTTGAGTGATCGCAGCCCAATACTATCCTTAGACTTGTATTCTTAGTTATATCGATCTCACAGAATTGGCTTGAGGTAGTTGAAGCTTACATGAACTTTAAGCTTGTTCTGACGACTATACTATGATTCTAAGTCGAATTTCTTGTCTATTTCTGTTTCATATTTGCAACTTTTTACTCGATGACTGCCTAAGAGACCATTACTGCGGGTTGGTAAAACAACTTTTTAATGAAACTTCGATTGGTATGCATATATGTATGTATGTGTGCACTTCGATTTAACAACTTAAAAATCCTTTCACTTGCCAATACATACACTTCATAGGAAATATCACTTCTGCGAAGTTCCCCACAATTGTTATTACATAACTTATACAAATCATAAATAACAACAAATACTTTTCATAAGCTTAGAGAGGAAAAGCCACTTTCGAACCACTACAAAAAAGGTAAGAAAGTGTTTTGTTGTTACGAGTATTTGATGTTGTTTGAATGTTGCCGGAATTGGCTTCTTATTGCAAATTTATTTTACTTACCCCTTTCGACATGCATGACCTGTCGTCGTGTGTGTGCGGGTGTGATTTTTTCCTTCCTGTCTGGCAAGCAACTCAATTCAATTTCAATTTCATATTGCAATGACGTTTACAATCAAGTGATGCCGTAAGTCGAAAGCCGAGCGCTGCGAGTCGAGGATGTGCTGGCGAGGTGTGTGCGAAAACTTAGCCAAGGAAGGTTATAGTTTAAAATTCTTGCAATTGACGTGAAATAATATGAATGCATATGGTGGTGGCAAGCAGGTGCATATGTATCTACGCGCACATACATATATTATGAATGTAAATAAAATAAAGTTGTATGCAAGCAATGATTTTTTGCTTGCCGTATGTGAGAAAAGGTGTTAAAGTAATTTCCGGCAGTTAATGGTTACTTGTACGTATGTAGAAATAGCCAAATATGCACACCAGCATATCTGCATTTGTGTGAGCGTATGTATGTACATACATATGTGCTTATAAGCCAGCACTTCCGTATATAAAATGTGTTAATGAAGGGTTTGGTGTGGTTTCTGTGATTGACATGACCAAAAAAATAGAAAAAAAAACAATTAAATAACCATATGCCTCGTTATAACAAAATAATTGCAATATTTAGTTAAAAAAATTAGTTTTCAAAAAATTTTAATTTTTTTTAATGTTATTTTTTAAGCTTCCCTTATTCTAAAGTGTGCCCTCATACCAAGTTTCGATGAAGAGTTGGAAGTTTCGGAAAGAGTGAAATAGTTACCTTAAAGCTCGTTTTTTAATCACCCCGTTTACACAGACAAATCTCAGATTATTAGTCGTCAAATTTGTTGTGCTTTTTATACTCACATCTCAAGGAAAAGTTATGTTTCTTCTCTGTGTCACCGTGATCACATTTTTCTGCTATATTAATCAATTTAAATAATATTTTAACTGAATATTATATTAAAAATACAAAACAGACCTCTTTTTCTTGCAAGCATCCATTTTTGTTTACTTTTACATTTGGCATTTCTGCTCTTCTCGCAAAAAGAATGGAGAAAACTAGGTTGGACACCGAAAAGTTATCGGTTTATTCTGAAAATATTTTATAAAATGAAAAGGTTCCCTTTTCATTGCCCTCTACTTAGTATTTATGCGTAGATGGCATCGTAAT